CAATCGAACTCCGAGGAGTCTCTTTCGAAGAATTCGGTCGGTGTTATCCGCCTTCCCTGCCCGCCGACGATTTCGTTGCGGTCAACCGGCGCAAGCACGAGCTCAGGCCTATCCCACGCCCCCGGTTCTGTGGTGATGGAATTCTTGATGGCATTCTCGATGCCTCGCACAATATTCGCAAACAAAGAGCGATGGTTGAAAAGAATATTCCTGCGGGGAATGCGTTTGATTTTCATGACGTCCACAAGARCAGGGAGGACTTTTTGCTTAGCAAAACCCCGCTTGTCGTACTCGAGGAAGAAACAACGCGTCGTGTCGATGGGTGTAGCGTGCTGAAGCGGTTCATCACCATCGTCGGGCATGCGAGGGCCCACTCCCTCGCCCTCATCTCCCGAAACCCGCAGTTCTTCTGCCCTCACTATCTGCTTACCTTTTCTTGCCCCACCACGGTCGCYGCCACGACTGCCAGATCTTCCCCCCTGGCTGCTCTTCCGTGGAGGTCTCGCCTCCTGGGATGCTATCAGAGCTCCACGAGCCTCATTTACAGCGTCAGTCCTCGATTGTCTCTTGTGAGCGGAAGCAGAAGGAGAAGTTTCTCTTGTCCTTTTCCTCGACTTCGATCCTCCGTGCTCCTGCGAGTCATGCCCACCCTGACTCCCGCCTTGCGAATGGCATATCGCAGGGGACGGCAAGTGCCGACCAACAACCGGCCCCATAGAACTGGCGGGGATGTCGCCAAGGCCATGCTCTGACGTGATACCGACGTCGTCATCGCCAAACATGTTCTGGTCCTGCATGTTCTCATCCCCAACGTCCATGTACTCGTCATCACCGCCGTCTTCACGTGGACCRCAACTTCCCCCATCTTCTTCATCCTCGTTTTGCTCAATCAGGGCAGTCACACCTTCCTGGAYACTGTCGCGCGCAGCATTGCGTCCRTACAGAAGTTTGTCATCGTACTCCGTAGCCTCGCTATAACATTGAGCGAGATCGTGACCTCCCCTCACCGCGGGCAAGGGSGAGGGCGRCGCGCCTGGCAAAGGCGGAGCTGGACAAGCAGCCAACTGTTTCCTCTTCCCAACCGGTGCGGATGGCGTATGTCGCGATTTTCTCGAGCTCATGACAAAGGGCACGAAAGCGCAGTCAGCTTGCTGGTCCAGAGGCAGCCTCAAGAAGGCTTCCYTGTACTCCTTAACAACACCTGGAAGTTGGTCCGCCGGGCTGCTGAATTTCACCAACGGCTTGGTGAGCTCCAAGGAACTGTCGACGACAGGAAGGCAGCCAGTGACGCGGTAGCCGTTCGTTCTACTGAGGAATTGTTCCGCAGTGAGCATGCGAAGCTCGACGCCGTCCCCGCGCGCGTCAAACGC